TGCCTTTCTGGCAGTTCAAATCTACCAGTGGCTGCCCAGGAGAAAGATGAGCAATCTCCTCTACTGTAATTTAACAAGCCCTGAAAACCTGCTGGATGGTCTCAGTTCCAACTAAATGGCAATGAGTTTTTGAGTTCTAAGTAGAATTTTGGCTTACATAATGGCATAGAGTAGTTACAACTGCTTTAAAAATCTTTGATAATTCCAATAGCCTAAATTTTCTAAGTGCTAGCATGTATTGTCTTTCTCTTGAGTAATGATCACATTTTCTTGTTTCCTAGTGTATGAAGTAATTTGGGATTGTATCTTAATCTTTTGTCATGACACTATGAGTACTATAAAATACTTTGTAGTAATTTTCTTTTAAAATCTTTTTACAGATCGAATTGCAAGTTATAGCTCACTTTCTGCAAGAAGTATATTTCCTGTATTATTTTGAAAGTCATTGTTGTGCCACTTTGGTTTTGTCTAATGCTTGAATTCTCAGAGATTACCTTAGTTCAGGTCTCAAAATCTTTGCTGTATGGTTTCTATCTGTTCTTTTGATGAACTGTTCAGTGGTGGGCCAGCACCTGTGCTTCTTCCTATGTAGAATTAGAGGATGCTTTTATCCAGTTCATTTCTTTCAAGATCTCCTCACTACCTAGCTCCCAAGGGTCTTTGATCCTGTTTTCCTAGCTAGAAAGATTAGATTTTTGTGTTGTATTCATTTGACCATGCAGTTCTGTTAGGCTATGGTTACCCTTAGGGAAAAGAAGAGAAAAGAAGGAAAATAAAAGGGGGGGGGCAGGGAGAGAAAGAAGGAGGGAAGAGAGAGAAAGGAGAGAGAGGAGAATGGGTAGAGGGGGAACAGAGAGCGAGAGAGACACTTGCTCCTCCAGTCCCTCAACCTGAGATTTCTTATTGTTATCACCTTATTTAGAATATAAACAACAACAACAAAATAAACCAAATCACTCCTATTGAAATGATTCTGAATCATAGCAAACCTGTAAGACAGAGAATTGCTTTAAGGGCTTCCAAGACTGTATATACTTGTTTTTTTTTTTTTTAGTTAATTAGTTTTTGAGTTAAAGTTTACAAATCATATTGGTTTTTCATTCAATCATCCATCCATAGTTTGTCTTCTAACATTTATTAAAATTGATTAAATAAACTGCAATGTCTGTTCAACTCTTATTATATATTGTCTTCCTTTCATAAGGCTGAAAAGTTTGAGAGAAGCAGGCTGCTTCATTTTTCTACTTTAGAGCAGGTGGTGGTTTTGACCACTAATATTTTGGTTAGCAGCCAAATACCACCAGAGCTATTCAGACCATAGGGGTTCCTTTCCCCTATTTTTCCTGGCTATAAATACAGGGTTCCCCGCCCCCTTGGAATCTTGTTGCTCATGATGGTTCTATAAAGAGTAACTCCTTGATTTAGTGGTCACCTCTAGAGATAAAACAAGGGGGGAAATTTGTTAGACAGGGAACAAGCCCCAAATAGGTAATTTTTTTTATCGTTATGAACCTTTACATAGATTTCAGATTTCCATTCATTCATTGTTGCATTTTTCTCCCTGCCCACTCCTCCCCCGACCCCCGTTCCCTCTTCTCTTAAAAAGTAAAATTCTTTCGTTGGTATATAATCCCTCTGCCCCAAGTACACTCCACTATGCAACCTTCATTCTGGACTCTTGTCATAACCATAATACCCAATCATACATCGCTTTTAAAATGTTCTCTCCCTCATCTGTTTCAATGCAGTATACATAATTTATCCAATTTTTCTCAGTCTCACCCCAACCCTGATATCAGTCCCATTCTACAATAGTGGCACTATGCAGTATTTGTCCTTTTGTGACTGAGATATTTCACTCAGCATAATGTCCTCTAAGGTCACCCATTTTGCCTAATATTGCATGAGCTCCTTGTTTTTCAATGCAGCGTAGTATGCCACTGTGTGAATACACTAGAATACATTCATTTGTTGATGGGCACTTAGGTTGTTTCCAACTCCTTGCTATTGTGAACAAAGCTGCAATAAACATGGATGTGCATATATCTGCCTGGGTCAAATAGGTCATTTCTAAAAAATGCCAAAAATTTCAGAAGCAAGGACCAGATAATTACTGCTGTGTGACAAAGCTGGTTTGATTTGCTTTGTGACTGGGAACAAATCATTTTACTTCTATGCAGATTGCTTTGCTAAAAGAAAACTTTGAGCATAATGCACCCAAACCAGGAGTAACAGGGGAATATGAAAGTGGACTTCAAATAATTAGACAAACTTAACCAGAATCACATTTTTTTTTCAAAAGTAGAAAGATGACGGATGAGTAAACTGGAAAAGTAAAATTGTACAGAAAGTAGAATTTTCAAAGGAAAGTAACGAAAAATGTTAAAGTTTAGCTTGAGAAACAATTTTAAGGAGAGAGGAGGATCAGCAAGAGAGAGGAATATACTCAGTGAGACAGAGTGACACAATGACTGCAGCAATGGACTAAAGTACATCAAAGAAGATGAGGATGAAACAGGATAGGACAGGGTGTAGAGCTGTTGTTCATAGGGTAGCTATGAGTCATACTCAACAGCAACTAACAACAACAAAATTGTTTCAGGAGAAGGCATATGTATACCTGGAAATGCTGAGGCTATAGCTCCAGTTTGCTTTCTGGTGAGAAATGGAAATCATGAAATTCTGAAGGTTTTTAAACTGGGAAATGGGTGAAAGACATTTACAATATATTTTTTAAAAACACCATATTTAATCAATTGTTAACCCATGTCATGCCAGTATTCAGCTTTCTAACACTATATGGTAAGGGATATAAACATAATAGTTAACTTATTTCACAAATTCAGAAAAATAGGATTTTCAATGATATTCTATTTCTAAATATGGTAGGTAGGATAGGTAACTGATATTTAAATAGACCAGGAAAGAAGAAAACAAAAAACTTCTATAGAAAAACTTATTTTTGGTTGACTTACAAGTTTAAGAGAAAATGAAAAAGAAATTGAATGTGTAACATTTATTAAAGTCTCAGTGTTCTAAGCACAAGCAGGAACATCAACTCACATTCAAAGCAACTTCTCAATATTCATTCTTTAGTTAATTAAACTTTCCTGTTTACAAATTCCAGGCCAAGAACCCAAGACAGAAGATAGAAGAGAGAAGCAGAAGAAAAATCCACATAGTGCATAAAATAAAATTAGAAAACTTCCAGTATTTTGGTCATTTATATATTCAGGAAGATTTCACCTTTCAATAAAATTTGTGTTTTCCTGATCTTGATTTTCAAGTTGCTCATCTGGATACCCAATTAAACACTGTATTGCATAATTTAATGGTTTTATCTGAACAAATAAACTCACTGGAAAACCACAGAATATGGTCACTGATAAATGTACATACTTTCATGCATTTATAGGAGTTGAAAGTCAGTTCTGACTTATAAGCAACCATACACACAACAGAAAATATTGTTCAATCTTGAGCCATTCTGATACTCTCTGCTGTGTTTGTTGTTGTTGAGTACCATCAAGTCAGCTATACCTATAGCTTGACCCTCCTGGGGGTTTTCAGAGGCAGTAATTCACACAGGAGGAGACTGCCCATCTTCTCCCACAGAGAAGCTGATGGACTTGAACCACGTCCTCTGGGATTTCAGGGAAGGTCCTTACCACTCAAAATAAAACCCAATGCTGCTGAGTAGGTTCCAACTCATAGAGAACCTCCATCAAGTTTCCAGGGCTGTAAACATGAAAGACCATCATTCTCCTGTAGAGAAGCTGGCAGATTTGCCCTTTAGGTTAGCAGCCGGATATGCATAATACCATCAGGGCGCCTTACACTGAAGAAATGCTCAAAAGAAATAAAGGAAAAAACCCAAACTAACAACCCTCAAACTCATAGCTGTTGAACTGGAGCTGACTCATTGCTGACTTCCACTAGGTCGCCTGTGGTAGATTCTCCTTCTTTCTCCTATGGAACCACTGGAACTGCCAGAGAGGTGGGGGCCTTTGATTTAGCAACATACCTCCCTACAGGTTATTTTATCAAAGATCCAATACATGTCCCTTATAAATTTCAATTTCTTGAGCATTTTTCCTCTACATATTTTTAGAGAAAACTTCCTAGTTCTTGAAACTTCTGCTAAGTCTCAAAAAAGGTATATTGTATTAACATCTCATTTAACTAACTGATACAAGTAATTGTAATTCTTTTGATAAAAGAAAAAGTAATGGAAACCTTTTTTTTCTGATAGAATGACTGTTATAACTTTGGTTTTAGAAATAAATGAACTTTTGTTTCTTTGTATTTCCCTGATGTCTTTTTTTCTAGATCAAATTCAAAGTATACCAGCCTTTTGTATACACAATCTGTAAGGATGACTAGAGGTTTTATAAAATGACCACCTCATTTTGTGTGTGTGTGTATGTGTGTACTGTCAAATTGGATCTGACTGGTACAGAAGTTTCTCTCTCCTTCTCCAGCAGAGTATCTGGTGGACTCAAACCTGGCACCTCTGGGATTGGAGAGCCACTAGGCCACCAGAGCTCTTAATAAGTGCTTCATAAGCTCATAATAAGCACTTCATTTTATAAGTACAAATTAGGTGATCGTTCTAAACAAAAGTTGTTAGGTGCCTTCAAGTTGGCTTTGACTCTATGTCATAGTGACTTTAAGTACAACAGAAAACAGAACAAAATACTGCACAATCCTGTGCCATCCTTACAGTCTCAGCTTCTTTAAGGCCACCATTGTAGCCACTATGTCAGTCCACAGACTTGAGTTTCCCTCTTTTCCATTCATCCTCATGAACAATCACAATGGCGTTCTCCAGGGACTCAATGTATAAGATGAAGTCTCATCTTTGCTTCTTCTTTTTTTTTTAATTGTTGTTGTTGTCATCGTGAACCATTGAATCAGATACCACTGGCACAGGAGGAGACTGCCCCTCCTTTTCTAGCAGAGCATATGATGGATTTGAATCATATGCCCTGGAGATTGCAGTGCAGTTTCTTGACACTAGGCCACCAGAGTTCCCTTCACTTTTGTTTCTAAGAGCATTTTGGCTACAATTCTTTCAAGACATAGTTGTTCTTTTGACAATATATAATGCATTTAATATTCTTCACCAACACCATATTCAAATGCATCAAGTCTTCTGTGATTTAATTTATTCATATTCCAACTTTCACATCATATAAATCCACATTTCATATAGTGATGGAAAATAACATGGCTTAGGTCAGGTTTACCTCAGTCTGCAAAGTAATATCCTTGCCTTGTTCAATGCAACATACTTTTTTGACTACTCCTTTCCTGGATGCTGTGTATATGCTATCATTATTAGGTGCCATCAAGACAAGTATGATTCATGAACAACAGATCTAAATCTTGTCCTATCCTGTGCAATCCTCAGCATCTCCGACACATTTGAACCCATTGCTGCAGTCACTGTGTCAAGCCCTCCCAAGGGATGTCTGTATAAATATAATGAAATCTTTGACAAAATCATTCTTTTCTCCATTTATACTGAGGATACTTACTGATTCGTGAACACTTTTATTTATATTGAGGTATAACTCATACGGAAGGCTTTCACAGTGTGTGCTTCAAGTCTTCTTCTCTATCACAAGCAAAGTTTTATCATCGGCATAATGAAGGTTGTGTTTCTCCAATCCTGCTGTCACTTTCGTCTTCATATAGGTCCTTTTATTGGACTATCTGGAAAATATATGGATTCCACAGGCATGGTTGAAGGATGTAATGTTGACATGTATCTTTTCCTGATTTAAAAATATGCAGTATCCAGTTGTACTATTAGAATGACTGCTTCTCTGTTCCAGAAAAGGTTATGTGTGAGTGCAACTATGTACTTATGTGTTTTGGAATTATCTTTTCAAAGTATTATTATTTTTCATACAAGAAAACGCATTTGCAGAGTAAATAAAACATAGGTAAACATCTTTTCTGGTAGTTTCTAATTTGAGCCAAGATCCCTCTGATGTCTGGTAATGATATCTCCCATTCTACAATTTCTTCTGAATCCTGCTTGAATTTCTGGCAGTTCACTGCCAATGTCCTGCTTCATTTGTTTTGAACAATCGTCGTCAAGATTTTACTTGAGTGATATTAATATTCTTTGATAATTTTCCCATTCTGTTGAATTACTTTTTTAATGAATAGACATAAATACCATTTTCTTCCAGTTTGTTGACCAGTTGTTGCTGTTAAGTCCTACTGAGTTGACTATTATTCATAATGATCTTATGAACAACGAATCTGAACTTTTCCCTATTCTGTGCCATCTTCATTTCTGATATACTTGAGCCCATTGATAGTCATTATGTCAATCCCTCTAGCTTAGAGACTTTCTCTCTTTTGCTGATCCTTTACCTGTCCAAGGAATATTCCCTTCTAACAACATTCACAAAGTATGTGTGACAAAGTTTTGCCATCCATGCCTTGGACATTCTCTAAGCTTCTGTTCATTCTTTTGACAGTTCATAAGATTTTCAGTACTCTTCTCCAACATCTCAAGTCAAAGGCATTGATGATTATTCTGTTATCCTTATTCATTGCCTAATTTTCATATGCATAACAAGTAACTGAAAATGGTTCAGTTTGAATCAGATGGAACTTAGATTTTACATTAGCAACATTGCTCTTTAACATTTGAGAGAGGTCCTTGACAGCTGATTTTCCAGTGCCGCAAGTGTCCTGATCTCTTGACTCTTTGTACCAAGGATGTTGATTGTGGATTTCCAAGTAAGACAACTTCAATCTTTTCTCCATTCATCATCATGTTGCCTATTGATGTAGTGGTTAGGATTTTTGCTTTCTTTGAGGTGTAATCTT